CGGTGCGCCTTATGTGTGTGTTAAATACAGAAATGGCACACATAACTGAGAGTGCGCCTTTTAGTCCGGTGCGCCTTATGTGTGTGTTAAATACAGAAATGGCACACATAACTGAGAGTGCGCCTTTTAGTCCGGTGCGCCTTATGGTCGTGAAAATACGGTAGTAAGTTTTGTGTTTTTTTCCCCCTAAAAGTACATTTTAGTTACCATTTGTTGCAAAATCATGGCAACAAAACAGCTAACAAAAGGAACAAAATAAACAGGGAGGCTTTTATTTTTTTTTTTACATCATTACTAGTGTACCCTGATGGGTTTCTGTGTAGATGTTTCAATTTATTGTTGGTGTTTTGTTGTCTTTTTTCTTTGTTATTTTGCTTCTTCTATTCACTCTGTTTATTTTCTCCAGTTCTTTTTTCCCCCACCATTTATCCCCTCTTGTCAAGGCCAACAATATCCTGTAATATTCAGATAAAACAAGCATTCAATAAATGAAAGGAAACAAATAAATTCAGATTATTAGAAGAGCCTTGTATTTATAAAGCCCTGTAGGCGAAGTGAATTTGTTCAACACACCATTCTGCTTGCTACTATTATAACAAAACATCATATATATATATATATATATATATATATATATATATATATATATATATATATATATATATATATATATATATATATAAAGTTTCTATGTTAGCATTAGCTTGTATGGCTTACATGTAAGCATTAAAAGGGCCCCTGCATAGCTTAAATATAATTTTTCAGCCTTTTATGGTATTTAAGTATAAAAAAATAGACGGATGGAAGAATGAAGTAAATGAAAATGCTGCATTTAAAATAGTATAAGAGGAAAAATATTGGATTTTTCCTACCGGGACAAAATAGTAATAAAATTTTGATATTCACTTCACAAGACGTTCCCAAACACGTCATCCTTCTACCTTGCATAGGTCTAAAATCCGTCTGCATACTCACGTTGCTGTGAGGTAAGTATACAGGTTCTTGGACGTATCCTCTCGCCTCACTGGGGAGGCTGTACATGCTGGCCTGTTGCTGCTGCTGTTGCTCCTCCAGCTTCAGAGACTCGATCTCCGACTTCAGCTCCTTCAGCTGGTCCTGCAGGTGCTTGCTCTTCTCCATGTACTCCAGCCTGTTGAAACGCACAGCTATGTCAGCAAACAGGGCCGAGATCAGAACTAAAAGGTTAAAGCAGGTGTTTTAATCACCGCCTCACCTCTCTCTCTCAATCTCCATGGACAGCCTCTTCATGTCCGAGTCCTTGAAGTCGAGGCGTGACGATGCTGAATCATAGCTGAAGTCGGCCGGCTCAGGAGGAGCAGGGGGAGTAGAATAGGCTGCTATGAGCTGAAGGACAAAAACAGATGTCAATATTCTTTCTTTATATAAAAAACTATCATGTTTGCAAGCATTATATATATGCTGTAACATCACTGAATGCAAATTAAAAGATGTGACAGTTATAACCGTGTTGCAGCTCAAGGTCAGAGTAAGAAAACCTTTTTTTATCAAACACAACTTGTCGTCAGTCATATTTCTCCTCTCTGCATTGATTCATCACTTCCATCTTTAAAAAAGTAATTTATCACTCCTTTAGAAATTATTAATATCTTAATGACACAGTATTTGTTTATCTTAAAGTAATAGCTTCAAGAGAGGAAGAATCCCACCCCCCCTTTCTTCCTGCCATTTGCCATCTGGGGCTTCTGAAGTTTATGAGTCAGCTCTGATAAATCAGACTGTCTTCATTTTCTTGTTTCATAATAACCTTAAAAGCAAAACAGCTAATCTGTGGCTTGAGCTTTTAAAGTAAGTGCACTCTGAAATGTAAGAAATGCTAAGTAATAACCTTCTGAAGGGAAAAAAAATAAAAAACGACAACAAAGGGATGTGCATTTATCCACAAAATGCATGAAAAAAAGCAGAATGAATCATTAGCACAGTACAGGGTATGTTGTTTTGGTAATCTCCAGGAGTTTCTGCTTGGCTCTTCGTTCAGCATCCTTGGCTTCCGTCAGGTCCTGCTTTAGGTGATCTGCTTCTTTCAACCTGGAAAAACAGGATTACTTTGTGTTATATTGACAGATCCCAAACAATATTAATTTACAGAACAACACAGCTAACATTCTCTATATTTATCTGGTCCCTGGTAGAGATGGAAATAGAGCCCTAAAATACAGTTATTTCTATTAGAGGAGAAGTTTCACATTTAACTTTTTATGATAACCCCAGTATCAACTTTAGTATATTTACTCAGAAGGGAAAAATGTTATTTTCAGGTCAGCCTGCAGCTTTTTCTACACGATCTCCGTCTGGGGACTCAGATTGCTGATTTCAGCCAATGGTTCTAAGTCATTAAGCTGCTCAATGAATTAGAGGAGCTAGTTTTCTGGCAAAGTACAACAAAACTTCATTAATATTCCCCATTTTATGTGTTAGATTTCATGATAGACAAACAAGGACCACAGGCCCTTTGGCAGGGAAACAGAAGGGTTGGTTGGAGAAAAGCTCAGTTTTTATCTCAAGGGATAAAATCACACATTTCCCATTGTAAATTTAAGCAAACTCAACGTTTTAGCTTATGACAGTATGGCTGAAACATTTCCCCTCCAAATCAGCTGGTTGGAACGTGATGTTTGTGGAGCTTTCAACAAAAAACCAAACATTTTATGGAGGTGGAATGAAAAAACATTTTTAATGATTCGGACTTCTGGTAGTGCAGAACCACCGCTTTCCAGTTTTATAATTTTTATATTTAGATCCTCACACTTTGGTTAGAATGAGTTTATTTTAAGATACTCTTGTATTTTCTCATCTAAAATCAGTCTGTCCATTTTTAAGGGCTGGTTATCCTCCCGCAGCAGTGCGTCGCAGTGAGCTTATCGCAGATATTTTTGATTTATGCCCAATATTGAAGCGTGGTCTGCGCTACGTTATTCCACGCCACAACACAAGAGGGACAATCAGGAACTAGCTGGGGGTCTAGATACGGCCGAGGCGGTGAGGAAGTGGGGGCAAGTTTGTGCAACAACGGAGGGACATGAGGGCGAAAAAGAGCGGGGATCCAGGTGGAAAAAGGATCTCAGCGTTCTCACGCGCCTCGTTCTTCTAGCTGGTCCATCTTCAGGAGTCAATGGCGGTCATAAAAACAAAACAAGCCGGTAAGGTATCAAACACTAAATACACATTGAGTAGAGCGGCTATAGATTTGACCAATCAGAGGCCTCCTGTCTGCAGCCACCTACAATTCTGGAGAGGTGCACCAGATTTTCTGAAGGGTTAACTTCGACACACAAAGGCAGACGACCTGGTTTCTGAGTATAAATTGGCCTTTAGACCTGTCCATTGCTCTCCACGGGTTTTTTCTTTGAGTGTTTCTGTGTGAAAATCCTATAAGATCATCAACTTAAAATACCCAGACCTAAAAACATGGCACTACCAACCCTGCAACACTTGAAGTCACTCTCTTTCTCCACCCCGATTCTGATGCTCAATTTGGTCTTTAGGATTTCATTTTCACATCTAGATACCTAAATACATCGAGTCATGGCTGAACAGGTGTACCTAAGAAACTGGCCGATTACTGTAAAAGCTCTAGTTGTGTGTTTTGGGTTTATGTTTTTTTTTTTTGCAGTATGAATAATTAAACATAAATTACAGGGGAGCTATTTCAACTAGTACACTTAATTGAATACAATAAAATTTTGGTAGTTTTTATGCATAAACTTACCCTAGATGTAACTAAATCCAGCCTATATGAGGCCATAAACAGATATAAAATCAAACGGAAATAGACTATGTCAAATCAATGGAGTTTGTGACGCATCAAGGATTATTTAAGCGAATATGAGGAACCAGCTCAGATGCCACCTATCAGGATTGGCACACTTCATACCACTGGCATACAAAAATTAAGTTAAATTAACTCCTTTTCAAGATTAAATAAAACTCATTTTTTGATTTAAGGTATTGTGTTTAGGAATGCATCCGTCCAATTTTTGTCCCATTTGTTATGACCCAGTTGTTAACTTAAGTATAAACACAGCACAGCTAAAAGCTGTAGCACTTTCCTCTGTTTAAAACCAAAGCTTTTAAAGAGATAACAGGCCGTACCATGGGTGGTTATGCTTTCATTGGGTCGTTAGGCCTTAATTAGGAGCATTTTATTCATGATTTTCTTTTCGGTAATCTTCGCTGCCTCTTTATCTTTCATAAATAAATACGTAAAGCATAATATTGATGATCGATTGGCAGAACAGCCATAAAGGAAGCAGGAATTAATTTAAGCAGAAATTCAAACTAGCAACAGTGAGGATAAATTCACACCTCCTCTCCGACTGCTCCACCAGCTTTACAGCCAGCTGCTCTGCCTCCCTCATCTTCTGCTCCATCAACCGTTTCTCCTCCTTGGTCTTCATGGCTGTGACCTCTAATCTCTGCCGTTCCTGCTCAGCTTCTGCAGCTTTGTGAGCCAAAAGCTTGGCCTCCTCCTCAGCGATCTGAGCCTTCTCCGCCAGCAGGTCTGCCGTCTCCTCCGATCGAAGCTGGATAGAGAAGGTCAGGATCATTTTATTTAACAAGAAAACAAACAAAAATAAACAACAGATTCAAATGAAAAAACTTGAAACTTGTGATGATGCAGAAATCTTTTTTTCTTTAAAATTCTTTTAATTTTATTGTTTCATTGCATTGTTAGATAAGGGCTGGACAATTTTGCCAAAACTCATAAACTGTTATTTTAATTTTGTTTGCAGTTACTAAAAGTATTTACAGCAGGGATTTATAGTTTTTCATCATCTTCATGAGTCCATTGTTACAGGACTTTACTCTTACTGTGTGGAAAACAGATTATCCTGAGCTATTTGTATATTTTTATGCTGCTATAGGTTTATGCTGCTGAAGGACACAGGGACTATTCCTCAAAATGTGCTGCATACAACTCACTCTTCTTTCTATGTGGTTGCAAACCCACACAGTGGCTGCAACTAAAAAGCTTACTGCTGTTAAAAGTGATGTGATGCGGTGTGACAAAAAAGTGAGTGCCTCTATGATAACAAAAATGAATGTGATTATATAAAAAATGCAATTAATTGCACGGACCTAGTTACTATCACCAGTTTTGTCATGCGAAACTTGCTGTTCCCAAAGAAGAGCCACCAGTTGTCTAAAACATGTTTTTTTATTTTGGCAGAAGGATAAACATCTCACCAGAGCCTCATTGGCAAGTCGCGCCTCATCCTGCAGTTGGAAAAGTCTTCGCTCCATCTCCTCTTTTGCCCGTTCTGCTTCCTCTCTCATCTGTTTTTCCCGTGCCAGGATCTGACGCTCCATCTTAATGGGAGGAATGAAAACATTTATAGTAAATAACTTCTAAAAATGGTGAGTTCCTTCAAACATACAGATGTTTTTGCACAGTTCATATCACCTTTCAGGAGAACAGCCATTTAAATTTTCCATGGAAGTTGGATGGAGGAGGAGGAAAAGTCACTAAGATATTCCTGTCGGTTGCCCTGCTTTACATATGGCTCAGTCTTTTCTCAATGTTATTGATTCTTTTAATGGTGTGCAGTCTGTGACTGGTCCTACACATGTGCATGGACACACTCTTGATCTGGTTTTATCTTATGATCGACCGGTTTCTATCTGGGTGATCAGTGGCCCATTATTTTTAGATCACATGCCAGTTTTATTTAGGATAGACTTATCCTGTAACAAAGCAAAACCTTGTGCTGCAACTCGGCTCAGTCTTGTTCTCAACCCTTCTACTGCTGGTCAGTTCTCATCTGCTTTTAATCAGAACTGTACCATCCCAGAGACTGTAACAATTAAAAACTAGGATCTCAGCAAATGGTTTTATTCTACAAGAAAAGTTGTTCTAGATTCAGTCGTAGCATTAAAAATTAGACACTCTAAAACCAGGGATTAACCCTGGATAGATGATGACTCTCGAGCTGCCAGGAGAGACTGTCACAGTGCTAAGGATAAATGGAAAACAGACAAATTACAGGAGTCGCTCCTGATATTAAAGGAATGCTAGTACTGTTACCAAAAGACTGTAAAAGACGACACCTATCAAATGAAGTTGTACCAGTCACAATCAGTCTGTTTTATCTAAAATCATTGCCTTTGTTCTAAATGCTCCACATAGCTGTACAGAGACATCACCTGCTGTATGTGAAAGCGTCTTACACTCTTCTGTTGACCAAGTCACTTCTCTTAGGGCCCAAATCATCCCTCCGCTCAGGACCCATTTAGTTTTTATACCTTTTGCTTCTGTTTTCCACAGCTTTGAAGCCGTGACCTTGCTGCCTTTGCAGGAGACAGTCATTTAAGGCCAACAGGTTCTGAGGATGATGCTATTCCACCTTGATTATTGAAAGATGCGTTTCTGTTGTGAATAACTGTCTTCAGGTTTAGTTCCTGAAAATCTAAAACATGGAGTCCTCCAACTTCTAATTAAGAAAGTCCCCTAGGATCCCTCTGTTCTTGTGCTGTTAAATCTATCAGCTGCTTTTGACACAGTTGACCACATATCTTACTTTCTGGCTTAGAGCAGTGGGTGGGTATTTCGTGGGCATTGCTTTAGATTGGTTTAAATCTTATTTGGCCAAACTTACATTCTGTGTCTGTCTGGATGGTCACATGTCCTCCTCTACTTCCTTATCTTGTGCTGTCCAGCAGGGCTCAGTTTTGGACTTTCCTCTTCATGTAGTAGCTCCCCCCTATTGGGTCTATTTTTAGGAAATATTGGGATTTCTTATCATTGCCAAGCCAATGACGCACAAATGTATGTCCCCTAAAAAAAAAACTGACTCCACTTCTCTTTGGTCTCTGCTTTTATGTATGGAAGCCTTGAAAGCCTGGAGATCCCTACATTTATTAAAACTAAATGACGAAAAGACAGAGGTGGTGTTTTTTTGTAGTTCAAGGGAAGACTCAATGACTGATACTGGCTCTATGGCCGAATATGTCAGGACTATTATTTAAAAAATTCAGGGGTTAAAATAGACGCTAGTCTTAAGTTCAAAAACTCACATTAGAGATGTTGTAAAATCCATCTTTTTTCCACTTGAGGCAGCTAGCAAAGGTTGAGCCTATCCTTTCACATCATGTTTTTTTGCAAACACTCAGCTGGGTTACTATAATGCACTATATAAAGGTATCAGTGATTATTACATTTTTCCAGGTTCAGAAGCTACAGAATGCTGCTGCACGTCTCTTAACAGGTACAAGTAAATTAGCTCATATTTCTCCTGTTAGCTTGTTTGCATTGGCTGTCAGTGCATTTTAGGATTCGTTTTAAAATCCTTTTATTTGCTTTTATAGCTGACGCCCTACCTGTCAGAGCTGCTGCTGTACATCCCTACACACCCTCTCGTTCCCTTAGATCAGCTGATAGTTGTTACTGAAGGTGTCAAAGACAAAATGAAAGCTCAGAAGTGATCATGTTTTTTTCTGTTGTAGCCCCAAAGCTGTGGAATGACCTTCCTTCGGCCGTTAGACAGGCCTCTTCACTCTCTGATTCTATTCTCTCTTTTTAAGATCCCTTTCTTTTCTGTGGCTTTTGACAAAATCTGAGATGTTGATTTAGTCTTACTGTGTTTCTTTTATTACGGCTATTATTTAATTACCATATTTTTAAGACAATAAGGCGCATATAAATGTCTTTTTTTTCCCTCAAAATGTGTGGTGTGCCCTATGTGTGTTGTTACTGCGGACGTTTGAGACCACCATGAGAACGTTAAAGGGGGATGTGTGGGCGTGGATTGTGTATAAAAGAACAGGTATGTGCTTTATGCAGAACTCCTCATCGAGGAGATGATGAAAGAGTGGCTGAGGGAGGTGAATGTAAGGAGACCAGGTGTTTTTTCCATGCATCACCATCGCTGTTAATCTGTGACTCCATGCGTGCCCATCTCACAGCTTATGTGAAAAACATGGTTAAACAAATGAACGCAGTGCTTGCTGTTATTGCGGGAGATCTGACAAAGGAACTTCAACCGCTCGACATCAGTGTGAACCGGCCATTCAAAGTAATGCTGCTTTCACACCAGACGCAGCAGGAGTTTACATGCAAAGTCAATGGTTGACGCGCGTCAAGGCGCTGCAAAAGGTCCCGCAGCGCGTATTGAGCAGCAGGCCATAGCTGAAGCAGCTCGAGATGGAAAAATTAAACTTTTGCTGCTCGACGCACCGCATCAACCAATGACAGACAGACACATCGCTGATGATACAGAGCGCTGTGATCACTCCTCTGAAACAGTTTATTAACGCCTAAAATAACTTAAAATGCTGAAACCTGCTGACAGAATATGTTCGCTTTTATTATCCTGGTGCCTGCAGTTTGGATTATTTTGATGAAAAACACCTGCCAGCTGCCGCGGTGACCGCGAGGAGGCGACCCGGCCAGAGGCTGCTGTTGAATTAAGTTTTCAGGTGGATTTTCCCACTTAAAAACATATTAAAACTACTTTATTCCCACTGATCACAGCAAATACAGCTGCAAGGCAAAGAAAGGATAGAGTAGCTCCGCCCAACGCGCGTCAGACACACTTTTGCACTGCGCAGCCAGAGCAGCAAAGCTGCTTCAGCCGCGCGTCAGAACTAACTGGTACAATCTAAACTGCAGGCACCAGGATAATAAAAGCCAACATACTCTGCCGGCAGATTTCTGCATTTTAAGTTAATTTATGCGTCAATAAACTGTTTCAGAGGAGTGATCACTGCGCTCTGTGTCATCAGCCATGTGTCTGTCTCACGGCCAGCTCCCAGGTTTGATTAATACTTTGTAATAAATACATGAATAAAGCACAAAAATACTCAGTTTTGCTCCCGCTCTATTTTTAAATACGCAGTAGAGGTATTTAAAGGTAGTAGAGGACATGTACCTGTATATAAAAACGCGCCCTATAGTCCGGTGTGCCTTATGTGTGTGTTAAATACAGTAATGGCACACATAACTGAGACTGCGCCTTTTAGTACGGTGCGCCTTATGGTCGCGAAAATATGGTACTATATTTATACACAACTTTATTTATTGCTTTATGTTGACAGTTTGTATCTTAGGGTTGTGTAAAGCTCTTTGGTTCTGTTGGGTGTTTAAAGTGCTTTAAAAATACAGTTGTTATGGTATGGTGTATCAAAATGCAATGGCTTTCCCTCAAGTCCTCTTAGGACCACTTTTTAAATATGAATCCAAACGTTTGCATTACATTTACTGGAGATATTTGGGTCAAGATCAAGTTTTTAAATCAAAGGCAGTAAAGGTCAAGGAAAAAAGAGAAGGCAAACAAGATGGAAATAAAGGAAAAAGCAACAGATCAATAATGACAGAAGGAAAGAAAATAAGGCAAAGAGAAAGAACCATATAAACATGATTGAGGACAGGAAGGTCAGAAGAAGGAAGGGGAGATAAAAGGGAGGAAGACAAAATTAATGAAGGACAACAGGAATAACTAAAAGAAACAAGAGAGGAAAGAAAGAAGGAAAAGAAGGAGAGATATAATGAAAAAGTAGAGAAAGGATACAAAGAAAGTGAAGGATAAAAAAAAGGGAAGATGTGAGGAAGGACTGAATTAACAAATGAAGGGAAAAAAACAAAGATATAAATTATAAATAAGGTCTCCATGTTTTTCTGTGTTCTTCAATTCAGACCTTGAAAGTGTTTTAATAGAATCCCATCCTTCCCTCACAGCAGAAGATGCCAGCATACTGAGCACCAACCTTCTTGCGGGCCTTCTCCTCTTTAGCTTGAGCCTTCATCTGCTGCACTTCGATTGAGTCAACTTTCCTCCTCCTCATGAACAGATCATGGTTCCCGATGCACAGCTGCAGGATCTAGAACCCAACAGCAGCAAAGTCAGCTACTTCCAACACATCCTGTACAGCAGATAACCGATTCAGCCAAAGAAGTTAAAGCCTACCAGTTTGTTCACACGCAGCTGTGATGAGTAGAACTTGAAAACATCTTTCTTCTTATCCAGCGGTTTAATTGTGAACTGTAAGAAAATGTTCGGACGGTTATCTTATATCAGTAATAATTTTTTTGTGTTCTTGTTAAAGACGCCAAAATGACAAACATGAACTGATCCTACCTTCTAGTATTTTTATTTCTTTAGTAGTGTTTAGCAGCGCTTTTCTGAACACATTTCTAAACGATATTTCCCACCCAGATGTTTTTACGTTATGTCCTGAAGTATAGATTTTCTTCTGGTCTTTTTTCCCTATTTCAAGCAAAGAAACTCCTAACTGTGATATTTACACAAGTAGAATTTGACCAGCTCATAAATGGTTTATAAGGAGACTAATCCTCCCCTTTGGGAGGATAAGAGGAGGTTATGAAGAGCTGACTTCATTCAAGTATTAGTCAGACATTTCATGAGTCATATACTGCTTCCCCATAATAATCTTGGTACATTTAACAAATGCTTTGAACTTTTAAACTGAATTTAGGAAAAAAAAAACAAAGTATCAATAAAAGAATTAAAATGCCATGCATAATGAGTTCTACCATTTTATTTCTTACATTAGGATATGATGTGATAAATAAAACAGCAAGTGGCACGTAATTGTGGAGCAGATGGCAAAAGCAAACCTTTTATTTAAAGAAGAATTTCAGAACTGCTGCTTGCATGTGCTGTCAATCAAATCTAAGAAAAATTTGAGGTCAATTTGAATACAAATCCACTAGAGGTTGAAACAGAATGTGACATAGATTTAAAAGACGTGCAGCAGTAGTAGCAACAAAATGTGTTTTTCAAAAATATACTCTGAAGAAGTAAATAAAAAAGGTGCAAACGAAATAAATGAGGAAAGGGATTGCCTTTGAGTCGATGCAATCAACTGGTTTTTCTTAGTTAGAAAATTTTCAATTTGACGGTATGATCTGGTTGAACTGTAAAGTGCCTTGAGATGATGTGTGTTGTGAATTGGCCTTATATAAATAAAGTGAATTGAATTGAAAGCCACCTTTCATTTTCCTACCAATGTGTGTCAGTTTTTGGTGGCAAAGTAACAAAATCAAAATCAAGACATCAAAGTTGGAAAACACTAGTTGTGGGACCTGATCAAAATATTTTAGTAGTTATTTATAGGGTCTTTAATCAGTTAATTGAAATTAATCTAACATAATATACAGATCAAACAACATTATCAATAAAAAAAACAACTTTTTGCTCTTAAATGATTGAATAAATACACATATGAGCACAGCTATACAAATATGTATAGTTATTAATTGTTTATTTAAATTATTTAACCGTCAGATTGGGTTGAACGTTTTAATTGTGTAATTTTTTTTGTTTTATTTTAGAAACTCCTCATATTTTATACAACTTCTTTGAAAATCTACTTCTTTAGAAGTGAGAACTGTAAAGAACATTTATTATAGCAAAATTTCTTCCATTGATAATGTTAAAAAATTTAGGAGCAACTAATACTACCATTAAAATGTGCTGTAAACAGGAGTTAAAGTTCCATTTCTAAAACTGACAAGATGAGTATGATGGTAGAACCATGCAGAAAGCACTGCCTTTAAGAAGAGCTTAACATTTGCTATTCGACATGCAAAATTAATGCATTGACGCTACTTTTTATCTTAGAGCCGGTAAGACTAATAATCCATGCTGTACCCTGTTTTACCAGGGAGTTGTTTGTTTATTTAGATGTGGACTAACTTGCTGCTCTAAAGTTCATCATCAGATTCGATGCAGCCTGGCTGTAGAAATTGTGCTGCAGTTCTGGATGCTAAGATAAGCATAGCAAACAACTGTGTATGCTGCAACGTGAGCAGCACTGAAAGGGTTTTAAAGCTTGAATACCCACAATTGTGATTCTGCTTGTGAGCCAGATTTATGGGTGATAAAGCAAATGCAAATACAATGGTTCCTGCTCTGGACTTATGTATTAATAAAAATTAAAGAAAAAAGGCAAATATGTAAATTCTAACACGTCAAAATCTAGATAATTAAAGCCGGGCATACACTACGATTTTTTTCAATTGTTGCACGCAGCTACAGCTCACACTGNATAATGTTAAAAAATTTAGGAGCAACTAATACTACCATTAAAATGTGCTGTAAACAGGAGTTTAAGTTCCACTTCTAAAACTGACAAGATGAGTATGATGGTAGAATCATGCAGAAAGCACTGCCTTTAAGAAGAGCTTAACATTTGCTATTCGACATGCAAAATTAATGCATTGACGCTACTTTTTATCTTAGAGCCGGTAAGACTAATAATCCATGCTGTACCCTGTTTTACCAGGGAGTTGTTTGTTTATTTAGATGTGGACTAACTTGCTGCTCTAAAGTTCATCATCAGATTCGATGCAGCCTGGCTGTAGAAATTGTGCTGCAGTTCTGGATGCTAAGATAAGCATAGCAAACAACTGTGTATGCTGCAACGTGAGCAGCACTGAAAGGGTTTTAAAGCTTGAATACCCACAATTGTGATTCTGCTTGTGAGCCAGATTTATGGGTGATAAAGCAAATGCAAATACAATGGTTCCTGCTCTGGACTTATGTATTAATAAAAATTAAAGAAAAAAGGCAAATATGTAAATTCTAACACGTCAAAATCTAGATAATTAAAGCCGGGCATACACTACGATTTTTTTCAATTGTTGCACGCAGCTACAGCTCACACTGCACAACGAAACCCTGCGGTTTTTTCGTACAGTGGGAGTACACAGCTCACGATGTATGTTCTTGCACTGTGCGGCCCGACGTTTGATCTACCTGCTCACACTTTATGTCTAAAAAACAGGTCGGACTCAGCTCTGCAGTGAGATGACGCTACTCGGACTCGTCTATCAGGAAGCCAAACAAGTAGAAGAGGAAGATGAAGCTCCCTAGAGTGAAACATGTGGCCTCGGCAATTTGTGCGAAAGCCCTAAAAAGAAAAGGCGACGACATATTTGGACAAAGACATGGCTTAGCAAACGTGGCTACTATAGTCTGTCAATTTTACAGGAAGAACTCCATTTCCCCTGCACCACCACCATGCCTCTATGTTTTCATCTGAGAGGAAGAAGAAGAATCCTAGTTTGCGCACTGATCGATTTGCCCACGACAGGCAACTGAAAATCAAACATTTTTGATTTTCTCCCAATCTCCCGATTCCTGAATGGGAGGTGGTCGTTAGAGGCTGATGGCCCCCCGTTACCCCCTGTACACTATACGACGCACCCACGATCAGGCTGAAAGTCAGCCCAATCGTAAAATTATCGCACGACTGGAAAGTGAGCCCGGATTGGGCAAAAATAAAAATCACACAGTGTAAGCCCAGCTTAAGCTAAATCAGGCATCCCCAAAGTCAGTCCTAGAGGGCCGCTGTCCTGCAGGTTTTAGAGGTTTCTCTGCTCCAGCACAGCTGATTTTAATTGAAAGCTGATTAACAGGCTTTTTCTCAACTGCAGTCATCTTAATCAGCTGTGCTAAAGCAGGGAAACCTCTAAAACCTGCAGGACAGCAGCCTTCGAGGAACGACATTGGGGATGCCTGAGCTAAATGAACACAATTAAATCATGGGCCTAACTTCTACAAAACTTTCAAAATTCTGAAAAATTTTGAAAACACATAGGCTGTTTCATAATTCCTGTTGGACTTACCTCCTTTTCACTATAGGAGATATTCCGGATCCCGCTCCATGGGAAGGACTTATTTGGGTTGAGTTTGTTGTTGGGGTTATAGATATGAAGACCCTGAGCGTCGACACCCAGTAAAAGGTCTGTGTCCCTCTTATTTTGCTGTTGATGTGAATCGTCATGACAGAAACTTTAAAGGCTTAATGCTTTTTATACCAGCAGGGAATATTGTTATTACGTTACAGTCCCCAACACTCACAGTAATGGCAAAGTAGCTAACACCGTACATTTCTAGGTCCTGAGCAATCTTTAGGTATTCCATCTCAGCTTCATCTCTGAACAAAAGAGGAGGATGTCAATCAACCAAAGCCTGACAAATGGAACTAAGACTTACAAAGTTGTTTGTGTTCGGTTGGTCCTACCTGGCGATTCCTCTGTGTTCGGCGTACCAAGCTGTGATCTTCTCCTCCCACATGTCTGCTGTCATTTGGTACTGCATTAGAACCTGATATAAAGCAGGAAAACAATGGCTAATCTCAAAGCCAGGCCTACAAATTAGCCCCATTTTCACAAAAACTTTGATATCGTTTGTTTGCTTACCCTTTTTGGCAACAGTTCATCTTGTGCAAGAAAGCCGGGCTTGTGAAAGTTTGGGTCATAGTCTCCATACTTGGAGGAAGAGACATGATGTTTTAATGTTGATGTAGATATGCTTTATTGTTAACCAATATAGATATATGGTTATTAAACATATATTAAGATTAAATGTGTGATAACAAAAGAAAACAGAAAGCAGTTTAGCTTTGTCCTACCTTTGCCTGGACAGCATACGATGCCAAAAGGACTGAGGCTTCAGGAGAACAGAAAATCTCTTCATCTAATATCTGTTTCTTTACCTAAAATAAAAGTTTGAAAAAGTTTTCTCAATTACAAATAAAGATCATCATATTTTAATAAANTTGGGGATGCCTGAGCTAAATGAACACAATTAAATCATGGGCCTAACTTCTACAAAACTTTCAAAATTCTGAAAAATTTTGAAAACACATAGGCTGTTTCATAATTCCTGTTGGACTTACCTCCTTTTCACTATAGGAGATATTCCGGATCCCGCTCCATGGGAAGGACTTATTTGGGTTGAGTTTGTTGTTGGGGTTATAGATATGAAGACCCTGAGCGTCGACACCCAGTAAAAGGTCTGTGTCCCTCTTATTTTGCTGTTGATGTGAATCGTCATGACAGAAACTTTAAAGGCTTAATGCTTTTTATACCAGCAGGGAATATTGTTATTACGTTACAGTCCCCAACACTCACAGTAATGGCAAAGTAGCTAACACCGTACATTTCTAGGTCCTGAGCAATCTTTAGGTATTCCATCTCAGCTTCATCTCTGAACAAAAGAGGAGGATGTCAATCAACCAAAGCCTGACAAATGGAACTAAGACTTACAAAGTTGTTTGTGTTCGGTTGGTCCTACCTGGCGATTCCTCTGTGTTCGGCGTACCAAGCTGTGATCTTCTCCTCCCACATGTCTGCTGTCATTTGGTACTGCATTAGAACCTGATATAAAGCAGGAAAACAATGGCTAATCTCAAAGCCAGGCCTACAAATTAGCCCCATTTTCACAAAAACTTTGATATCGTTTGTTTGCTTACCCTTTTTGGCAACAGTTCATCTTGTGCAAGAAAGCCGGGCTTGTGAAAGTTTGGGTCATAGTCTCCATACTTGGAGGAAGAGACATGATGTTTTAATGTTGATGTAGATATGCTTTATTGTTAACCAATATAGATATATGGTTATTAAACATATATTAAGATTAAATGTGTGATAACAAAAGAAAACAGAAAGCAGTTTAGCTTTGTCCTACCTTTGCCTGGACAGCATACGATGCCAAAAGGACTGAGGCTTCAGGAGAACAGAAAATCTCTTCATCTAATATCTGTTTCTTTACCTAAAATAAAAGTTTGAAAAAGTTTTCTCAATTACAAATAAAGATCATCATATTTTAATAAATGTTAAATTAAAAAAATTTAATCACTTCACTGGCAAAACATGTTCAACTAAATTGTTAAGTGTTGCTACCTGTAAGAAAAACAGGTGTTGTGTAATTTCTTGGACCAGTTCCTCTTCCACTTTTTCAGGGAAGAATTTCGCTAAAAAGTGGAACGTTATGGGGGAGTCCTTAGGAACCTCCTGGTCCAGAACCTTGGTGGAAAAAAGAAATGAAAAAAAAGAAAGAAACAAAATGTTCATTCATATATTGCAGTGAAGAGTTAGAGGAAAATCCCAATCGGTGAGACTTTATTCAAACAGATGACGCCCATTGCTCACCCGTTTCTCAGGTTTGAGCCAGGCGTAGGTGTCCTTCACCGTGTACCGGAGTCCGAAGAACCAGGTCTCCCTCAAACCAACTGTGCGACACACCAGGTCAAACAGGTCTTTACCCTTCCATTTGACCTGAGACAACCAGAGCAAGGGGTTAAACATGCAAAGACCTGAAGAACAAAGCATTTCTGACAACATTCTCAACACTAAGCAGCAAATACATGCTTCCTACTACCAGGGACGCTCCTGCCCTCTGCAGGAAAGATTAGGTGCAACACTGATCTTTTGTTTTAAACACCTATCTTGAACTTAACTTAACAACTTTACAAGGACAGAAAAAAAGTATATGAAGTCAAATAAACCTTAACAAATAAAGCTGGTACAAGTTTGATTGATCAGAGACACAGAAAAGGAAAATCTGCCCATATCCTGTGCTAAATTATTTTAAACTGATGACAGCACACTAAAGGAGATCCAATTTTTTTTAACCAACTCCTAATAATTCTCACATTTTAAGGTTATGATGGATAGACAGACTGAGGATTGTATCTTTAACCACAGAGACTAATGACTCTAAATGCTATTCAGACTGTAAAATTCCACCTTTAACTGATCATAAAGCTAAATGAGTCAGAACCTGTGTGGACACCAGTCTGCTAAATACTTCCCTGGGGGCAAAGCTGACTAATCTGTCATGTTTTAGGAGGTATGAGTTATTTTGTTTCACAGGTTGTCATAACTAAGAAAACTTGTGCACATCATGAGCGCCTCTGTGCAACATAAAACTATTTAAACAACCTTCAACTCTGTCATCCACAATGTTCCTGAATGTAATAATTTAGGATCTTATCCAACAGACTGACACAAAATAATGGATCTCTCTGAAGCTGAAGGAAAATGAAACATAGTTTCTAAGGTTGTACAATTTATATTTAACTTCTTTTTGTAGTTTTATCCAACTGCCTGCAGCAGTCACATATACAGGACATAGATTCCATCTGTTTGTAATTTATTGCTTGTATAGTTTTATATTAAATCACGATCAGTCAAACTAAACATATTTATCAAACACCCCCAAATGAAACATGCACATCAACAAAGTCAATATAGCTACTCTGACAGGCTTGCAAAGGAGATGATTGATCAGAGAAGCAGCTTAAAGGTAACATAGCAAGCTAGATTCTCAGGTTTAGTTCTGCACTAAAGTTGTTCTGACTATGTTATTAGACATTATAATTTTCTGATTATTTCTTTATCTAAATACACAAAATCAAACTAACTGAAAACGGGACAGAGATTTATTTTTTCATGAAAAGTGCACAGCTTCACTAGAGGAAACAATTTTCCTTTTTTGTTGTTTAATATTTTGTAGTAGAAATTGCATGTTTGTTTTAGTTTGGCTGTGAATTAAGCAGCTCTGTCGTCACATCTGTATGTCATGCCTTAAACCAGAGGAGAGCAGGGTCAGCTAAAAGGTCTAGAATCTGCTTAAGTACCTCTTTTTGGTATCCATCGTCGCTAACACATTGTACGTAACGGTTATGGTTTTAATCTACGCTCTGGATTACCCATAATTCCAAGTCGTACTGTACAAAATAAAATACTCAAATACGTTGTTCTTTTAAGAACTTTATTGCGATTTGAAACATATTATATTAGTGTATTTTTGACCAGCCGTCTTATGAACTATACACAGTTATTAACATAGTAATTAAAAGTACCACTGTCTGCTTCGGCTCACCATCATGGTGAAATCTGCCATGTGCTGCGGTATAAATACGGTTCAGTCAGTCAATTTAATATCAGGTGGGTTTTAGAGGAATTTTTCACACCATTACATCTGCAAAGAGACGTCCTAGTCAACAATTGCGTTGGGGGCCTACCAGGTGTCAGTGACGGGGCCCCTAAGAGGTTGGGGGCCCCTAAGCCACTGCAGTCTCTACTTACTGATAGTTACGCCAGAACAAAGACAGAACAAATATTACTTCTGCACTCAACAACCCTGATCTTTATGTGTAAGAGGTAGAAAAATGAACCATAATGGAGTCATGATGGGGGATGGTTTACTTTAGCGAAGAAAGGAACACTAATCAGAATTATTTGGGAAATGAATAGGGATAATTACTGGGTAATAAATACAAGAAAAAACAATTTCAGGAGCTATGTTGTGCTTTTCTATCAAAGAAAGTTTTAATAAAGTTAATGAATGTTAGCATATGCCNGGGTAATAAATACAAGAAAAAACAATTTCAGGAGCTATGTTGTGCTTTTCTATCAAAGAAAGTTTTAATAAAGTTAATGAATGTTAGCATATGCCTAAAGCTAATATTATCCTCCAGAACTGCAGCTCATCTGTCTTCTGTGTGATAAATATAAACATGCTATTTTATGTTTTGAAGAAACCAGTACATATGTGATTAGATATTTAGAGCTAACCTCACAGCTGAACTCCATCTCAGCATCCATAGTGATGACTTTAACTTTGAAAGTCTTTGGCTGTTTCTTCTTCAACCCCAGGATGGACATTTTGATGTGATTCTAGATTGGACAGCTGTGGAAATAAAAGAGGTTTCCTAAGAGGGACATCATAAAAACCACATCTGAAGAGTAACAGCATACAGAAAACAATTAATTGTGTTAACTTTCTTCATATAAAGCATCCTGAATTCAAAGTTTCAGTTAGTTTTACATATGAATAGAAAGAGCAGCTTAAAGGTGAGGATATAAAAGAAGAGGAGGCCCTATTACCGGGGAGTAGAGTTCAGCTTCTGCCGTCCAAAAAGGATCAGAGGAGGCTGGGCTTTTGTGTTTGTGTTGGTTGGAGCTTCCGATGCTAAGCTAACTTTTCTCACTAAACTGCGTTTTCCCCCCTCCCAACGGTTAAGACAAAAAAACAGTCCATAACAAGTTATAGCAGCATTGGAGCCTTAGAAAGGCCTCCATAATGATTATGTACCCGAAGTTTTGATAAAGTTTGGGGGAAAGTTTCAAACTGTCGTGTTTTAGCTAGTTAGCAGGCTATTCAAAATCAGAAGGACTTTCCAGAAGATTTTTGTTTTGACTCCCAGTTACTCTAAAGGCGGGGGCAGGAAGAGTCAGGAATAACGCCATGGCGCCTGTGTCTGCTTCAAGGCTGTCGGAAATATCAGTCTCAATAAATGTAGCGTTAAACACTGAAGCGAAATATAGTATTTTCCGAAGCGGACCTAACTGGTTAATGATCTATTAAAAACATAAAGATGTATAAGGAAGTTTAAAGTAGAGTTGACTAGTGGAGGCTGTTTGGTAATGTGAGTGACAAATTGTATTGGAACGCCGCTCAACCTGACAGTTTTTACTGAGGGAAAAATCATAATCCTATATAGCTTGTGCGGCTATGAGAGGAAGTAATTTTTTCAGAAATCTTCAAAAGATCAAGAAAACCATAGGATAAGATAACTACTTCAAATACAATTTAA